CAACGCTCGAGCATCGGTCTACATACAGTACACGTCACCGCCTACACTAGTATAATAAGGCCGTCCGCTACTCTGCTCGACACCCCGTCCTCGCTGTCTTCCCCGTCGACCACCATGCCCTTGCCGCTTCCGGCCGCGGTCCGGGTAGAAGTCTGGTGGCAAACCCCAACCCTAGGGTGTACCGCCACGGGTCAGGTGACAACGCCAGCGTCGGCGCCCGGCGTGTCGTCGCCGCCCGCTTTAGGCCTGTCGTCGTCGTCGCCGACGATGAGCATGGCTGTAGCATTTGTATGTAGTCGTAAAAATATGGAATAAATCTCATTAAATACACAAAATTCGTTTGATGGATTTGACATGTATGCGCCGCCACTTACACGCTCCGATCGAGCGTCGTCGCCGTCAGGAATGTCGTGCTCACTGTGCTCAACGGCGGCGGCCGATCGCACCGTATAAAGCCTCAAAAAAATACGATAAATTCATAGCATATTGCTATTACATGCTGTCTCGTGTTAAATGCCCCTCTATGCATATACAACGTTCAGATATGCGGATACAATGTCCAGATATGCGAATACTCACCTATGTCCAAGGGTATATGCTGCAAAATGCATGGTAGCAGCAGTGGGAAATGTTCTAAGCAAAAGTATCAGCAAAGAATAGTTCTGGTAACACTTTACTGTCCATAAGACCCAAAAAACCGCTGTTGTTGCGATGCTGGTGGGTCTATTGCATAGGAATAACTGCACAGCAAGGAGAGTGCAATCAGACCCAAAGAGGAGCAGAGAAGGAAGAAATTTGAGAGGCCAAGGTAGATAAAGAATGCCGAACACATGTGCTCACATAACAGGGCCTGGACTGCCTGCATACGCACGACCAGGGAAGAACTGAAGGGGCAATGTAGGATCTAAAAGCGAGAAATAAAAACAAACTCACATGAGGGATGCAATTCCATCCGGAGACCCAGTATCCATCGTATTCCGTCCGCTCTATGATATTCAAACGCGTGGAAGATGCCCGGCGGCATGAAGAGGCATACGCGGCCGGATGTCGAAGACGTACTCACCCGGTCGCAATGCAGGACAGGCCTATGCAGATGCCTAATGTACAGACAACTGCAATGTTATAGATACGCATCTGATACGGATGCAGTGCAACATAGACAGTTATTTACCTATAACTCGCTCTACCTTAGCTCCTCGCCATCAGTGCATGCGAGACACATGGACACAGAATATTTACAGTAGACTGCACTGGCTAGACATATATCAGAAGCTGCCAGCAAGAGATCAATAGTAATCAGCCAGGAGGAAGAGCTGGCGTAGTCGACGAGAGCAGGTTCGAATACGCTGTGACCCAGCCGTGACGCAGCATGACCATGAATTCGGACAGAATCCGGACGGCGCTGTGGCTGTCGCTCTCGTCCACGACGTGCCTCTGGAATTCTGGTGTCTAGTATCGCGGCGTACATGTCTCTTTGGCCTTCAGATTGCTCTAAGTCTAACAACGTCTTCCAAATGACTCTGCGATGACTTGGGAGCTGGCTTACGAGGTAGGATAGCGATGACGCACTGGAGCCCCGGTAACACTGGTATGCTACTGCAACAATGATGCTGTAGCTCTCCTCTGCTGTAAGTATCCGATTATTTAGTATCTTCCCATTGTTTGAATATTTGCCTATGTCATTGTTCATGTAACAGTTGTTTGACTGTTTATTTGCTTGCGATCGACCAGTCCGAACCCTCTCTGCTGATGCTATTGTGTTAGCATTGCTGACCTACTATTACCGTCGCGGTTGTCTTTTGGCTCCCTCCTGGCGCTGCTCGTGGCTGGGACAGGGTTGGGACCGCCATCCAACCCTAGCTGATCCCTGTCCTCTAACCGCGCTGCACTACAACAAGTATCGCTTTGTCACGGGTAAGTGCGTTAACGCAATCGGTATGCATCCTCGATGCTTATCCGTCATTTTACAGGTTTTGTACCGCTTCTTCCGTCCTCTGTCTAGCTGTCTTCCGGGTGGTTCTGCCAATGCAGCCCGCTTGAAAGGACTGTCACTTGGCAATCTCCTCATGCTGAACTAAGATACGACTATTGTGCTGATGTGCTTGTGAGTATCCTACTGTGGCTGGTTCTGCTACTGCTGTCATGCATTCAGCAGTGTTGATAATTGGATCTTGGTGAATGTTTGCATATCTGGACATCATGTATGCCCACAAGTGTTCTGGAATGCGATGCAATGCATAGGAGCAATATGCTATGAATTTATCGTATTTTTTTTGAGGCTTTATACGGTGCGATCGGCCGCCGCCGTTGAGCACAGTGAGCACGACATTCCTGACGGCGACGACGCTCGATCGGAGCGTGTAAGTGGCGGCGCATACATGTCAAATCCATCAAACGAATTTTGTGTATTTAATGAGATTTATTCCATATTTTTACGACTACATACAAATGCTACAGCCATGCTCATCGTCGGCGACGACGACGACAGGCCTAAAGCGGGCGGCGACGACACGCCGGGCGCCGACGCTGGCGTTGTCACCTGACCCGTGGCGGTACACCCTAGGGTTGGGGTTTGCCACCAGACTTCTACCCGGACCGCGGCCGGAAGCGGCAAGGGCATGGTGGTCGACGGGGAAGACAGCGAGGACGGGGTGTCGAGCAGAGTAGCGGACGGCCTTATTATACTAGTGTAGGCGGTGACGTGTACTGTATGTAGACCGATGCTCGAGCGTTGAAGTCAAGGGGGACGAGGTGGGGTACCCAGGGGGGGCGTTCAGGTGGGGTGGCAAAATAAGGTT